TGGTAGACCAGGCTGGCCTCGAACTCACAGAGATCCACCTGGCTCTGCCTCCCGAGTGCTGGGATTAAAGGCGTGCGCCACCACCGCCCGGCTTCTTCTGCTTTTCTTTCTTTCTTTTTCTTATTTTTTAAGGATGCTTCAACTTGAACTATGACCAACTTTATATCTGTCCACCGTGACCAGCCCTTCCTCCAGAAAGTCATAGTTTCCATTTTGAAAACATGGTCATTCCTTCTAAAGCTTGCCTCTTTAGCCTTTGCATCCTTCATGTTTTGCAGATTTTTACATAAGATTATGTTCATTCCAATACTATCCAGTGTTTTATAATTTTTTTCTTTCAGTTCCAAAGGATGAACAACTTTCCCATAAAACAGACCCTGAGGTCTCTCACACTGAAACTGGTAAAAAAACCTTTATTTTACTACTTATAAAGTATATTTATATTTCCAAAATCCTGATGATATATATATATACATATATATACACATATATATATGCCATGATAAAGAAAAGTATGGTTATGAAATATATGTTTTCTTGGAAGGAGTTCGATCATATAATCCTGTTTAAAGGTTTTTCCTAGTTAAATAGAGGAAAACTTACATAATAGTTTTATTTGCTTTGGAAATGTTTTCACTGAAGAAGAGATCATGCTGAAATTACACAACTTAATTATTAGCTGAGATAATTTTTATAGTCTTTTATGGGTTTATGGCTTTTAAGCAAAAAACAAATAGTTGCCTGCTCATTCATGTTTTCCTCCAAATGATGGTTGGTGAATGAAATAAAGATTTAGTTAACTAAGTTCCTTGAATAGAATCCAGTAGAGCTTTCTCATATTTATTATGGTTCTTAGAGGATATCCAAGTTTTAAAATAACTGTATCTAGAAGAGAAATAATTTGGCTTTATTGTAGTAATTTTCATAAATGTATCTTTGGTTTGCTCTTGGCACAGTTCTGCCTCCTGTCACCTTTAGAGCTGAGCCACTGAAGACAACAATAGGTAATGCTTTTTTCACATTAACCAACCAGCTTGCTTGCTTCGTTCCCATCAAGATCGCAGGCCTTTCTTGAATGATCACTCACCCTTTCCAAGTTCGTTTCACGATGGCTTTCTCACTGTGACCACTGTTTCCAATAAAGAAAAGCAAGGTTTCGGTGTTGAAAGGTTTTGCTCTGGAGACAGCCCAGAAAGGCTCATTATGGAGCTTGCCCTTATCTACCTCATTTATCTCCATGATTCCACTTTCCCTGTTCCCTGTCTGGTTGATGTTCCTGTTAGTTTAATGGTTCTCAGCTGAGATGCGACAACACAGTACCATATGTCAGAGCTTGAAAGATGATGCAAGAAGCTAATAATTTGGTCAAAATAAGAAAGCTGCTTGTTGATTTGCTTGTCCAACTAAGCCAGAGCAGATTCAAAACATTCATCCCAACAATTCTGTTATCTCTCTGCTTTGGGGTGGAGGGTAGAGAGACAGAGCTACAACCCAAAGATCAGGAAGGTGTCATAACCACACTCCATCTTGGCCAGGTCTCCTATGCAGTGGGCCAAACACAGAATGTCATTTATTGTGCCTCCTGGTAGAAAACAATTAACTATTATGCTAACATTCCATTGTCTTTCTCCTGAGAGTCCTATATACATTAACTTTCTTCTTCACCACTCATGAGATGTTTTCCTTTTTATATTTCAAATGAAGGTGTCTCTTGCCATACCATTCTGGTTTATTGCTGGCTTTGACTTAAAAGTTTACCAACTTAGTACTTTTCTTTTGCAGCACCTTTAGAGACACGGAACATTCCTTTCATACCTGTGATTTCACCACGACCTAGTCAAGAAGAACTACAAACCGCCCTGGGTAACTTGTGTTATTTTACTCCACCAGGGACTTAGCCTTTAAGGACTGCCCTTAAAGTAACATGCTTTATTCAACTTCTACATTGCATGGCTTTCCATATAAATAAGAATGGCTACATGCAGCTTGGCAGTCAGCTCTCCTGAATCAAAACTACCTTTTGAAAAAGTGTAATGGAAGTGATCAGATGTTTTCCTTGCCATTGTCCCTCAAATGGTATCACACCACACAGCAGCGATTTCCATCTGCTTATACGACAAGTGATCTAGAGAGGATTTAAGATACAATAGGCTACCCGCAGAGCATATAGGCTGCCTGCAGAAAGACGATGGATGAGACAAGACAGCGGTTGGTATGATCAGGAGCTCTCTTTGAGGATTTCAATGTAAATATGGCCACAGTTGTGGAAACACATTTGTTGAGTAATGACAGAAAATGATAAAAAAGTTCTTCAGCTCATGTTGGTCCTCTCCTTCCTGCACACCAAAGAGTCCTTTTATTCAGTAGTTTTATTTTCCTCTCTTTATCCCCTTTAAGTAAATCTATCGTGTGTGTGTGTGTGTGTGTGTGTGTGTGTTGAAGTAGCTGACTATATTTTTACATAAAGTCCATCTGAAAGAAAAAAATTTAAATGGAATGAGCAAATATACCCTAGTGATTATATATTGGTAGCCTATGACTGCAAAGTTATGAAATGGTCAAGTTTAAAGTACTTTACACAAGTTACCACTGGATATACTAATCACCTAATTTCCACTTCCCTTATTTTTAAAAAAATGTTTTTTGGTTTATTGACGAAAGAGCCATCATTTGCGAGCTATCACAAATCTCTTTCCCAAAAATTGAATCAAGAGAATAAACTGGGGCAGAGGAAAAAGAGGGCAATATTACTGCCATCAGCTATTTCCTTGATATTTAAAGTGGCGGAGTAAACAATATTCTTTGCCATTATGATGTAATATGTTCAGGATAATATGAGGGCAACACTTATTTTGCCAAGACAAATATGTCTGAATGTCAGTAAACATAATTTTCATTTTGACACATAGAAAATAAAACAATATTTCTTCTATGATTGAAATCAGCATCTTTTCATGTGATCTAATTTTTTTCTACATATAACCTGTGGAGTTTGTGAAGCAGGGAAGAGATAAAAAAGACAAACACATAGGCATTTAAGGTATTTTCAAACTTTGGCGACACCCAAGGATAGCAACCTCATCAAACAGCTATCTTGGGCTTTTAGCTCCATGGTAGTACACTTGCCTAGCGTTCATGATGCCCTGGGTTCAATCCCTAGTGTAGTAAAACCCAAAATCAAAGCAAATTAACCCTGCCCCAAAGCTGCCTTGTCAATTCAATGATAATCATTAAAGTAATAGGACAACCAAAATAGCAAGTCATTAACATATGTATTAGCTTTGTTACTACAAAAAGGGTAGAGAATAGCTTGTGTTATTTATTTTTTTACTTTGCTCTTTGTTATGTTCATGGTGATGGTTTTTAAAAACCTTAAAAAACGAGACATCCTACTATGTTTTTCCCTAGAAGAAACAGACCGGTCCACCCAGGAGCTCTTCACAACTAAGATTCCACAAACAACTGAATGGGCAAAGACAACTCAGGGTAATGCTCTTTCTCCACCCTTGGAGAGAAATTTTTCCTTATTTTCCTTGAATTTTGCTTTCAGACGGCATTCGCTCACCACAGTGAACGACTTGGCTGTCTTCACATTAAAGAGGAAGGACCTCAGGCAAACTGAGTACCACTTGTACACGTGACTTCTTTGGTCTGGGCTTCGAATGTCTCGTTGGCTGCAGGATGCTGATAACTACCCTTAAAAGCCCCTAGGTTTTTTCCCCTTGCTGAACCTTCACAAGCCTGACTTTCATCTCTGATAAATAAGGAAGACCATCTCCATCTTCCTTCTTGTCCCTTCCTCTCCCCTCTCCTGTCTTCCCCTTCTCTCATCTCCCAAACTGGAATAAAACCCATTGATCTTAGGAGCTGAGAAAAGCTATTAATGAGAAAAGTCATTTAAGTATTGAGAGGGGTTAGACATTTAGGAACATGTTCCCTATAATGCCCTGTCTCTGGAAAAAGGAACTCACCTGCAGGCTTAATTTTCATAGTCGCTTCTGTTACAGCTTCTCACCCACTTGGGCTCTAAGCATTTGCTGGTTTTCTGATGTTGTAGAGTTATTGTTGCTGCTGTTTGGATGATCCTTTTTGCTCATTTGTATTAAATGGTAGAAAGCCAAATCAAATAAAACAAAACAAAAGCAAACTTTAAAGGAACCAGAAGACAGATAACTGTTCTGTCCATTATCAATACTAACTTGAGGGAGAACACTGATGGATGAAGTCTGAAATCAGCAAGAGCCTAGTGTGACGACCCATGCTCGAAATCCGAGCCTTTGGGAGTAAGGACAGAGGATGGGGAGTTCAAGGCCAGCCTGGGAAAAAATTTAAAAAGCAAAATACAAAGGAAGAAAGGGCATAAGGGTAATAAGTAACAGCAAGAAAAATGATAGCATCAAAACAAATGTAATTTTAAGGCAGGTCCTTTGTCATCGGAGTGAGAGTCTGAGCAGACATGAGCAGGGTGAGTGTGGTACCACACTTAGAGCCTCTAACTCTAGACCTTGTTCATTTGGAACTTTTTGATTTTAAAATTTCCAATTCAATTATAAAATTTGTATTGATTAGCTTCTTATTTGTGTGGAGATATGCCGAGAAATAAGAAGCGCCAGAGCAGCATTCTCACGCCCCCTCCGCCAGCTTCATCCATTCATACACTCGGTCAGCTGTGTGCGGCCACACCCCTCCCTGGCTTTGGTGTCTTATTTTCTCTCTTTTTGCAAATCACTTTGCTGTCTTCAATGACAGCATCATCCTAATGCTCAAACAGTGCAGCTCTTCAATGAAACTGATAAATATTTATAATAAGGAGGAGAGATAAAGATGCTCTTTCAGCTCTGCTTTTGTTTTTCCAAGTGAGAAAAAAAAAATTGCAACTTTTGGAGGCTTCATGGATTCCAGATTGAGGGTCAAAAAACGATAGATCTGATAGGTTTGAGCTTTCTTTACTTTTGTATGGGAATGCCAACATTGGGTTAAAGATTTTTTTAATTCCTTCTGAAACAATTTACTAGACAGGAATTTTATGGTTATACTGAGTTTCACGAAGGATCTTATATCATGATCTGAATTGTCTTAGTACAATTGTATAATGTACTGTAATTTTTTTTCTTGTGTCCAGAGAATTCTTAGTTTGAGGCTCTGCTCTGCTCTCCTAGGATTTATGTTTTCCTGGTTTTGTCCCAAACCTTTTGTTTAGGCTCAGCAGGGATGCAGTTGCATGAGATATCAAATAATAACTAGGAAGGAACCATCTTCAAAAGAGGAGGAACACCCACAAACTGGTGCCTTCCAATAACCCTGATTAGGAGCAGAGGGGGGCAGCTTGGATGAAGACAAGCTGGGTGTTACAAGGCCCTCCTCATAAGCTGTCCTGAGATCTGAGCTACTTCAGGTCCATCTGGGACACTGGGTCTGTTTAATGCCAGTCGTCATATAGCACATAACAACTGAGGGACGAGAGGCAGAGATGAAACAATTCCTCCTGATGCTGTGCTCTAACCGTATGTGTACCATTGATGCACGAGACTGTGGGATCTCAAGCCCTCAGCAGTGGTACCCTTAGGACCACAATAGAACCCCACTACTAGATTCTCCCACCTAGTTTCTCTGTGGCAGCAGTGCCCCCGCGTCTCCTGAGACAATTCCCACGCAAAGCGCTGTCACCTACACTCATGTCTCTCTGCCATCTACTTTTTCTTCTCCAAGTATTTATTTTGTACGAACACGGACACAATGAGAAGGCATTTGTGGCCATGCCGTGGCATGTGTATGGCAGTCAGAGGGGACACCTTAATGGAGTTGGTCGTCTCCTTCCACCAGACGGATTCTGGAGATGACTCTGAGCTTGTTGGGCTTGGCAGCAAGCATTTTCCCCACTGAATCATCTCCAAGTGCCCAGTTTTTTACTGTCAGGACATAGTAGCAATGTACTCACCCAAAGGCACTTCAGGGAGTCCCTGCTTGTTTGACTTTCAACTCATGATTGCTTCTCCATCTGGACCTGAGCAGGGCACAGTGCTTCGATAATCACTGTGTATTTATTTCGGTTGTTGGTTTTTTTTATATATATTTTTTATTTTTAATATTTTAGAAAGTCCTTTTTTAAATAAATATGAAGTATCTTCACAGTTTTGTATTATTGGCCACCCAAAAACAAAACAAAACATGTGGCAGTGATGTTTACATGGTCACATAGTCACAAAGCTCCTGTGTCTTTCTCTTTGGGGTGTAAAGCTAGCCCAGGTTTCTCAAGGCCACATGCTGTTGGATGAGAGCTGTGTGAGTGCCTCACAGCCTAAAGTGAAGTTCTACTCCAGCTCTTGAAGTTCTTCCTAAGAGAACGCGAACAGAAGCTCCTGTGCCCCAGTGTTAAAGCTGACACTACTGCCGGGTATTTCTGAGTCCTGCTCTCATCTCCTTCCCATGCAAAGTTGGAAAATCCCTGTGTTTTCTACAGTGAGGAAAATATGAACCATGATCCCAACACTTCTCATCAGCAGAAGCGATCAAATGTTCGGAGGGATCTACATGACAAGCCGAAATGGGCTAAAATGACTGGCACTTATACCATTCTCAAAGAGAATCAAAAGGAACCATTTGCAAATCATCATGAGACTTTTTTGGCTCTGTGGTCATTAATGCTTTATAACAGCAGCTCTTCTGTTCACTATGGTTAGTACCCTTGGGATGGCCCCAGGCAGGCCCCCGGAGGATGTCAGTCTGCCTCTGTTGTTGGACTGCTGTATGGCAAAACCCTGCTCATCAAAGCCTTCACATTGGAAGCGTCTAAGTGAGAGCTACACTGTAAGCTATTTCACAGGTGTTATTTTTTTTAAATCTGCCAAGCAAGACATTGCTGATTTATGGTTAATAAATATCCACTCAAGATGTGAGCAAAACTATTAAATGATGTAACTTTTGTATAGTTTACAAGAAAAGAAAATCTGGCTGTAGGTAAAGCATCACCAAGAGGCTTGGTGGCAGGAATCCATGTGCGCTATGCAGTGTACAAAGAGCAGCAGTTGGTAGATTCCAGGAGGAGCACATACTTCAATACCTTAGGAAGCAAAAATAGTTCTGTATTGTTTCCTAAATTTGTCCACAATGCTCGCTCACATATCGGCTCAGCAAAGCTTCATTACTCCTCCTCCATGGGCAGGCACCATATAACAAGAGGTAGCATGCTGGGTTTAGCGTTCCTTGCTTAGTTTTCTTTGACACATTGGGCATCCGGCACCATTTTCTTTCACTCCTCTGTATAGCAATCATAGACAGTGAAGATTTATTAATTTCAGAGTTCATAAGCAAAGACAATTTGATAGAGACCACATGTTACTATTATTTTTCTTAGTGATCTAATTTTTTCCTTTTTCTTTCTTTAACCCTTAAGATTGTTTTCTTTGGAAAAATAATGTTCCAACATACAGTAGTTTCTTATTGAGAAGGATGGGTGGCTGGGTAGATGGCTGGCTGTGGATAGATGGCTAGCTGCTGGCTGGTTAGATGGAAGGATGGATAGATGGCTGACTATGTAGGTGAATGGCTGGGTAGATGGCTAGCTGGGTAGATGGCTGGCTGAGTAGATGGCTGGCTGGGTAGATGGCTAGCTGGGTAGACAGCTGGCTGTGTAGATGGAAGGATAGATAGATAGCTGACTATATAGGTGGATGGCTGGGTAGATGGCTAGCTGGGTAGATGGCTGGCTGGGTAGATGGCTAGCTGGGTAGATGGCTGGCTGGGTAGATGGAAGGATGGATAGATGGTCGACTATGTAGGTGGATGGCTGGGTAGATGAATGGCTAGGTTATAGATTTATCATGTTAAGTAACCATCTGATAAAATTAATACTTTTGGCAAGCATGGACTAATTGATTCTTAATATTTCAAATGACCTACCTCATCCTGTGTGTACCTTTGCTTTTCAGCCACAAGTAGTTTCACTTGTTTTTATGTCCGTTTTGCATGAAGTAGGTAATGAATAACTTGGCGATTTCAGAACGTTCTTTCGACCTCTATGTGAAGTGTGTGGGTTATTGGTCCCTAGGGTAACAAAGGTCAAGTGGCTGGTCTTTGGAGACTAGTTATTGAGTATAAAGTATGTCTTCTATTTCAGCACCACACAGATTGCACACGACTCCTGTGAGGCCCAGAATACTTGACAGACCACATGCCAGGCCTGGTAAGGGAGCTTTGCTTTCTCTAATGACCTACACAGCTGGGGAAGCTATAGAGAAGTGCCAAAATGGCCAGAATAGCCAAAGATGGGAGGGTTGGGAGAGGAGGGGTCCAGGGCAATGTACCCATAAGTTGAAATCAAGGGAACATAAAAATTCTGATCCTGGTGGATAATTGAATAGCTAATTCATTGAAGTGTTAAGACTTAAAGGTTTTATGGATGTTTAGAATCAGAGACTTCTGTGGAACTTAACAAATATAAAAATATTTTAATGAGCTTTATTCATAAGTCTCACACACCCTAAATTTTTTTATGACAATTTCAACTTTTTTTTTCTTGCCTCAGGAAAATAAATGGACTTGTCCTAGTAAGAGAGTGCTTTTGGTTTCAAAAAGAATAGTTTTACTTGATACCTCCTGTCATCAAAAGAAATATTTCTCATTTCAAAAGAATAAAAGACATGGTTTATTCTGGAGCCAAAATTATGAGTGACCATGACCTGGGAATATACCATCTGGTCTTCTCAAACAATGTTCCAATGAGGAAGACATTTTTAAAACAAATCGGTAGAAACACCTGAGAGGCAGAGTACAGAAAGATGGAGAATCTCTCTTACAAGCCTCAGATGATACCTGATAAGAACATTCTTAGCTTTTGGTTTGGTGGAAGCTAGGTCTTCTTAGCTAATACATTCCTATGGGTTTACCTGTTAGTTACAGGATGCCCACAAGGTGGACAAGGAATGACTACTTGGGGGGCTAATGGTAGTACAAAATTAATTTTAATTAAGCTCTGGACCTGCAACATTCCAACCTTTCCTCATCACTGCAGTTCTCATTCATCAGACATTGCTGACACACGTTCCTTCATGGAAGTTTTATACTTCAAAGGATAAAGCTATTTATAAACAACAAAAAGTATAGTTTTGTATTGAGAGATACCTCATACTGACCAAATCAGCGAAGAATCATAATTCTGCCCTCTTTGGGATTTAAAGAATGACTAATTGTTCAATGTCAGTTGTTCTTGTGTTAAAGCACAAGCATTTTAGTACCAGCTAAAGCCTTTCTGGTGTTTTCCTGACCTTTTCTGTTCTGATTCTAAGTATTCTTAAGGTACTAAATGAGGAAAGTCACTCACAAAGGTATGATCTATGTGAATGTATCTCCAGGTAGGCAAGAGGAAGGACACAATGTTTCTATATTCTTTGAATATTATATATGTAATATCCAATTATATAATATATAAAATATGTGTGTATATGCATATATACTATATAAATACATGTGATTATTATATATATATATATATATATATATATATATATATATATATATATATTTATATACACACCCACACACAGTGTTGAGTGCAGTCATCTAAGGGTTCAGGCATGATTTCTTTTTCCACACTAACTTGAATAAAAGGCAGGAAAGCAAGGTCTCATCACTCAGCCAGATCTTGTTCAAAGCAGAAGCACAAAGGCAATCAAGGACACACAGGCAGAGTCCCCAGACGGGAAAATAACCCAGAGCTGGAATCTGAGGAGGGGCTTGTGTGGGAATGGAATGAGTTCCCTTCTTCCTGGGAACGGGCTGGTTTGTGCTATTCCAGGGTGTTGGATAATCTGGACAAAGAAAGGAAAGTAGACTGTTTCTTTCCACATTAGTGCTCCCCAATAGTCCCTTGGTGGGAGTAGTTAAACTCCCACCAACTGTTTCTCTTGGGGAGGGAGAACAGAATGTTAGCTATCTTAAATTTCTATGAGAAAATATACATTAATCTACCTAGAGCTTTTGTTCAATGCCTGCCTGCTGGGGATCTGTTTGACTCCTAGTCCTTCATATAGAGAGCCAACATTTTGGCTATAATTTCTAACCCCTAAAGGAAACGAGGTAGAAAAATCTATGCAAGAGAAGGTATTTTCATGTATCTTTGTGTTACAAACAAATAATATGCTTAATATGTGACTGACTAAACATTTCTGTAAAATAAATAGTAATGTTTGACGATGGCCGAGTGCTTACCATGTGTCACACTATGAGGTATCTTTAAGGAACCTGAGGTGCTGAAGGGAATATAAAGACAGGCAATCTGACTCAAGAGCTTATGCATGTAAGCACATTCAGTGTTTGGTTTTCTAGAGTACAGGAAAGAGGTTTACATCATGGTATCATGGCTCAGTGCTCAACTGTGGATGTGTACAAGGACTATTGTCATTAAACAGTATCTAGAGACTTCTACCAACAGACCACCAATTTATGACTTATGCATGGTGGTCTTGACATTAAATACATTTCAGGTTTCAGTTCTTCACTCGACATAATGTAATCCTGATATTCCTTCGGTTCTGTTTTGGAATGTGTCTAATGGCATACACAGGAAGCAGGGTAAAATATCCCCGATTCAGAATTAGAAATTCCCTTGCTGCTTACTTTTTTCAGGAACAAGTATTGGAGCTTAGTGACCACCTCAGTACAGATGCAGATTTTCATTCTCACCCATGAAAGTGTATGACTTTCATAAGAGAATGCAGTTTCTCTATTCTGGACCATCTTTGTGTGCATGTGTGGGTTGTCCTTACTTTATTGCCTAGTTAAATGATTTTCAGTTCTCTCAGAAGTTTTGTTCTCCTTGGCTGCAGACTTTTAATAAAGAAATGCCTAACCTGTTTAATCCCTACTCTGTTGCAGTTCTGAACAAAACAACTACAAGACCTGGTAAAACCAAACCCAAAGGAAATGGAATCGGAACAGGTGATAATCACAGATGTTTTTTCTCTTTGGTTGCATCAAAATTAAATGCTCTCTGTGGTGGTTTGGAAGAAAATGGCCCCCAAAGGGAGTGGCACCATGAGGAGGTGTGGCCTTGTTGGAGTGGGTGTGGCCTTGTTGGAGTAGGTGTGGTCTTGTTGGAGGAAGTGTGCCACTGTGGAGGTGGGCTTTGAAGTCTCATATATGCTCAAGCCATGCCCAGTGAGACCGAGCACTTCCTGTTGCCTATGGGATCAAGTTGTAAGAACTCTCAGCTCCTTCTCCAGCACCATCTCTTCCTGCATGCTGCCTTGCTTCCTACCATGACGATAATGATTAAACCTCTGAACTGTGAGCTAGCCACCACAATGAAATATTTTCCTTTATAAGAGTGGCTATGGTCATGGTGTCTCTTTACAGCAATAGAAACCCTAACTAAGACACTGTCCATCTCATATAATTTTGTTGAATTCACACATCAATTTCTTTTGTATAAGTTTTGGAAAGTATTTGTAGAATTAAAATTTAAAGTTTTAACTCACTTCAAAATCAACTTCAAATATCCCTAAAGATGTTGGAAAAGAATTTTCCAACTTTTCTAAACCTAGTCTACTAAATTAGCTACCATATGTAGTCTTATTTCTCAAAAACAATTCCTATTAAATATTAGTTACAGTGAAAATAGGAAAAATCATTGTTTTCCCTTTTTTCAAACTGTTTTACTTGAGTATCATGGTATCTGAAATTCTGGAAATTTCATTATTTTCAGATCAAATGAAAGAGGCCAGACTATGGATTTCTGAGACATTACAGTACCTATTTGTGCTGAGTTATTTCATTCATTATTCTTGCCTGGAGTTTTAGCAGTGCATAATTTCTCCGAATGGCATAGACTGGCTCTAACAAGACCTATTTTTTCTCAGATCCTCTTGGAAGGAATTTAAGTACACATGTCTAATACTCAAATGATTCCTTGGAGGTTGCATAAATAATATATGTTGCTATGGTCCTATTGGAGACCTGTTGGCCTCCAGTATAATCAAACATGATTCTTTCTAGGACAACGAAAATCATCAAAAGAGGGAAAATAGTATTATTATACTTTAACTTAGCAACAGTCCGAATTTTTTTTTCAAAATACACTTTTGAACCAATTATCTCTCATTCTCATCTTGCATACATTAGTCATCTTTGTAATATCTTGTCCAAAAACAGTTTGGGGCAGACAAGTGCTTCTGTAATGTAACTACTTGGACACCGGCAGAACAAATGGGCTGCCCTTCCCCCCATTCCTTCTTTCTCTCACAGTGTCCAATCAAAATCTATGTGCTTGTTCTGCATTGTCCATCTATCAGGGACTTTGTCAAGGATCATCTTTTTGTTTATCTCTCAGGTGCAGCAGACAGCACCCTGCCGTCTCACCTTCAGGGCCAGTCCTAGCTGGATGCTGCCTTGAATATTTATTTTTTAACACCATTATAGATGTTTGTTTTGCATTGTATGGGTTGATTTTCCTTTATTTTAAGGTTAGAAAGTAGCCTACAGAAGCTGAGATTTTCTTTTGTTACATTTATTTATCTGTAGTATGTGTGGGTTGGGGAGGGGAGTATGCAGAAGTTCATGCCCCTGTTCATATACAGACATCAGAGAATCAGGAGAATCTGCAGACATTGGTCCTCTCCTTCTATAGTGTGGTTCCTAGATACGGAGCTGAGCTCATGCATGACCTAGGCATCGTGTGCCTTTACCCACTGAGCCCTCTTGCTAGCCCAAGGCTCATCATTTGGATGTGCTATTTTCTTGCTATTCTGCCTTTTTGTGGTTTCTACACATAGGCATCACAGTTTAGTTAGGGTGTTCCACACATCAGAAGTTTCTAAGTTGAGAAGTTGTGAGAAATGGCACAGTTTATGTCCTGACTCTTTAGAGAAGAAACTTGTCCACCCTAGCCCAGGGAGTCTGACTTCTCTTTGAAGATGACAGCTACTGGGCTGGTTAGTCATTCAGCTGTCGCATTTTGAAGGTTCCTTACATGCCAGGCAAAGTATTCTCCTGAAGCTCTCTTGAAGCATGCGATCTGGCAGCCTTTGCTACACAGCTGAGTCTCAGACTCTTCTCTCTCTATCCTAATGGGGAAACCACACCTTACTGCCCCCACATGGAGAGTGCCTCACAAGGAGAAACCAGACTCCTCAGGGTGAGGTATGTGTTTTTCTAGGCTGTGGCTGAATCTTCCAGGCAACTGGCTCATTGCTCATGAAATCCTAGCTAAGTGCTAAGATTTGGAGGCAAAAGCACGGAGACCAATCCTACATAAATATCACCCCTTTTAGTTACTGATTCACTGAGAATTGATTTCCACTGATACAGTCGAAAATCAGCATTGTTTGTTTGCAAAGGTTTTGTTGCTATGGTTAGAAATATCCAAAATCATTATTTTATCTTGGACAAGAAATCTCTAAGTGTGATGAATTACGTAAATCCGAAGCCTTCTGGAAAACTCCCATGTGGCAGTGGTGGGCCATACTGAGGTTCCAGTCTTGGTGCCTTTGGAGCCAACTGCCCTTTAAGCATTGGTGTCGATTAATCCTGTCTGAGAGAAAAGAATTCTCTCAATAGATTCCCTAATTGGATGCCAGTTCCATACAATCCATTCTCTACAGTGTCTCTCATAATGGCTTCCTCTTTAAATTTTCTCCTCATTCTGATTCTGTGCTGCCTTTAACCTTAAACTGCCCCCTTCTGATGTAGGGTAGGTCAAGTTTACTGGTTTACCAAGCCTGGGGCTTCACTGTCTGTCTCCAACTCTCCCCAATGAGCCCCAAAGTTACTGTTTGCAGGGTCCTTTCCAATGCTTCCAGAGAGTACTAGCGTCTATCTTTTTTCAAGGGCTGGTGTGCTGTTGATTTGCTGGTGTATATCTAGAAATCATAATGGCGTGCTGCCTCTGTCTCCACCCGTATAGAAAGCAACGGGGAAATTTCTAGTTAGTTCTGATGTATTCTTCCTCCTTTCCTCTCCCTTCTTCTCACCTCCCCCCTTGCTGGCCCATGTCCCTCCCTCCCCCTTTTCCTTGATCTCCAACTCCCTTCTGCCTTCAGGCACTTACCTGTGCTCATGTGGGATTAGTGGATCTGCACTGGCCCTACAGGAACTGCTGAAATCCTGCAACTAGTTTTGTGAGCGCCACACGATGGTGGCATGGTTACAGGACAGATGCTTGCCTGCCAAGGTCAATACCTCTCATGTAGGGAGGCACTTCAGCCAACTCAGGAGACGACATATTAGAACTATAGTCACTTAGTGTCACTGTGCGGAGTACAAGGAGAAGGAGCCAATAGAAAGAAGACTTAGTGCTTGCGAAAGGCTCTGGGGTTGAGAGCATGTGATTCTGAGTCCCAGCATTTCCCAGCTGTGACACCTGGAGCAGCTGGTTCAGCCTGGCCTTGGAGTTCCTCATTTGTGCCTCCTAGATGCTATATCCCACACAGAAGCTTTGTAAAGCTCAAACCGAGTAATAAATATGAAGAATGCTTAGATAGCATTAGAAATAAATACTCTGTATTTGAAAGACAAAACTATCTGGAGAAGGCCTAATAAGATCGACTCAAAAGCTGGGCAGTGGTGGCACATGCCTTTAATCCCAGCACTCAGGAAGACAGAGGCAGAGGCAGGCAGATCTCTCTGTGTTTGAGGCTGGCTAGCTTGGTCTACAGATTGAGTTCCAAGACAGGCTCCAAAGCTACACCGAGAAAACCTGTCATGAAAAAAAAATCAAAAAACAGAAAAAAAAAATTTACTCAAAGAACACCCAGCCTATCGGCATTCTAGGGTGTGTGTGTGTGTGTGTGTGTGTGTGTGTGTGTGTGTGTGTGTGTGTGTGTTACCTTTGAGAAATTATGGTAAATCAAAGTCGGTTACCAAGTCTTCTTAGTGGAACAGTGGAAGTATTTTTCTGTGCCTGAATGTCATTGACAGAATAGTCAGTCACATGATCTATCTCTCTGGCCCCAGGGTACTAAGAACACCAGGGCACAGGAACAGCTTTTTTAGAAGAAATTTTCAAAGTCTTCCACATTCCTCCAGAAATCAGCAGGGTCGGGTTCTTTACAGCAACAACTCTGCTCTATGGTACCAACTTCTGTATCAGTTACTTTTAGTTCCTGTGCTAAAACACCATGACCAAAAGCAAATTAAGAAATTGTTTATTTGCACGTACAGTTCTAGAGGGCTGGATGTCCAGAGAGGTGGGGAGCCCTGGAGACAGGAGCAGGAAGCTGAGAGATCACATTTTGACCACGCACAGGAAACACGGAACACAGGGAGTCGGGCAAGGCTATCCACTCTCAAAACTCACCCTCCCCAAGTGATGTCCTTCTTCCATCAGAGCTCTACTGCTTAAAGGTTCCATAACCTCCCCCAAGAGCACCACCTAGCGGGGACCAAGTGTTCAAACACATGAGCTGATGGAGAGACATTCAAACTTCAACAAGCAAAATTTTTATATTTAATCAGTGTATCTGCCTGCACATTTAAATGAGTCTAAGTAATATTCCTTTACTTTTTCTGGGACGTAACTATAAAACCAGAATTTTTGGCATTTAGTTACTATAGCTGGTCACGTTAATGTACTAACTGGCTATTAAATATGTTTCCTTATCTTTAATATGCAAACTATAGTCAGACCATTAGCATATGGATTCTTCTTTAGGATGATCATTTCTGAAGTTGTATTTCCTACTTAGATTCTAAAACTGTTTCTGTTCTTTCTTAATAAAAACTGTCAGAGCCAGGCATGGTGGCACAAGCCTTTAACCCCTGTACCCAGGAGCCAGAGGCAGGTAAATGTCTATGAGTTTGAGATCAGCGTGGACTAGATAGTGAGTTCTAGGCTAGCCAAAGCTGCATAGTGAGACCCTGTTGAGAGAGAGAGAGAGGAGTCAGACTCATTAGGAAAGATTATCTTGTAATATAGTTATAGAAAAGGGGAAAGAAAAACTGTAAGAGCCAGAGGAATAGGATGCCTGCTGTGAGACTGCATCTGTAGAAACAACTGGGAAAGCTGCACCCATAAAGCGCCATCAGCATGGCTGCCTAAACAAGACCTGAACAAGGACAACTCCAAGAGACATGCCAACATGGAACTCTCACAGGGCTCCAACCCTAGACAAAGAACTACAAGCACCTAAGAAATACTGAAAGAGAAAAATAGTCTTCCCCAGGGAAGAGCTGCTCCCTAATTGGTTACCTAATACCAAATCATCAGCCCTGCCTGAAATCGTATACATACATGTAACATTAGACTGGGCAGGTTGTATCTATATATTTAGGAATGTATCTATGTATCTCTTTATATATGCACATGCACATATATTTAGCAGTATGTGTATAGTGTGTGTGTGTGTGTGTGTGTGTGTGTGTGTGTGTGTGTATAACAACAATTATAGAAGAAAAGGGCCAGAGGCCATGAATTTGAGAGAGATTAAGGTAGGCATAGAATATATAGGAGGAGTTGTAGGGAAGAAATGGAAAATGATATATTTTAATTTCAAACAATAAAACAAAATTGTGTAAAGAAAGCAAACACTATTTTAAATAAAAAAAGAATAGTATCACAAAGCTAAGGTGAGATATACTGATTACCTATGTCCTAGGGAATCTTTCCAAAACCTATCCCAGGTGCCTAGGTGAAAGGTCAGATAGCCACCATATTTGAGGGAGACAGAAGAGAAAAATATCACACAAAGCAATATTGAATTGGTTGCTTCCAAACAACAACTTGGGGTTCTAGGCCAATCCAGGACTATTTTATAAACCCCAAAGGTAACGATCCAGTTTGTAGCCTCAACAATCTAATAGACAAGGCTGGCACAGGAGTATTTTTTTAAGCCAATTCAATAAGTATAAACCCAACCACATTGGATTCTGAGGTTTTTTTTATGAGCATTGGTGAGTTGGAGGAAAATTATCTTTTTAACCACAAAATGTACCCATGAAGACTGGCAGAAAGTGACACTTCAGCCTTGGTAAAATCTGTCTGGTGAAGCAATACCTCCCAGGCAGCCAGGGCAGGATGAATGCCATGGAAAATTCTGACAAAACCAAAAACCGCAGGCCAGCGCCAGCTCTAGAGAGAAAAACAAAACCAACGAATGTAAGATTTTTAGTATTTTTTTTTTCTGGGTAGTAGAAGACAATAAAATGGACACAAAAGCAATGGTGTTTATGCAAGAAATGCACATTTCCCTGACATCTCCATCAGGTGCCCATGACAGAGAATGTTTAGCAAATTTTTATTATACAGTTATTCCTGTTGCTTGTCTCTGCTCCTAGGAACCAAGCAAGCACCTAAGCCACCAAGTACTGGGAGAAATGTGTCAGTGGATCCACATGCCACAAAAAAACCAGGTAAGGAGTAAGATGTGGCCCCTCCGGCACCTCAGCTCTGAAATTTGCACAGTAACAGCAGTGGTGGATGATGAACAACACCTGTGTGGCCCCTGTGTGTGTGAGACCCAAATTAGCAGTAGATGGAAGCTGCTCGAGAAACATTCCAAAGACCATCTCTGGGGAAAGAAATGCAAGTTAAGTTCTTTTAAAACCTTTTTGGGGATACTGATTTAATGGTTGCTTCCTATAATACTCTGAGGAGTCACCATGGACAAGTGATACAAAGCCACCAGGTTTTAGACTTTTTTTCCAAGTTTTGCTCTTGTGTGATTTATAATGATATATTTGGCCTGAAATGATTTACGTTCCTATTTTAAGAGTGCATTACATGTAAAAGACATACGAAGCTCATAATCGAGTCTCTTTGCTTTTTAAAAAGATGCCATGAGAACAGTTCTCATGTATTAGTGTTTATATTATCGTACTCACCTGAGCAAGCACGTGGGCAGGCTCTCCTCCCCACCTCCTACCTTTCTCTGCCTTTTCTGTCTCTTGTGGGAGCCCGTTTTCGGGTTCCTCGTGGCTTTACCCAGCAGGTCCGCATAGAGGATGATTAGGACCACAGGCCTGAGTGCAGGTGTCTGAGATGGTCTGCACTTGGCTGTGCTGGGGGAGGAGGTCTTTTGCTCCACCCCTTGGCGTCTCTATAAATACCCTGGGGCAGAGACAGTCAGGGCCCCTTGGAAAAGGTTCCAGGCCCTCTTGAGACTATCCTTTATTTTCTATCTGTTTATCTCCGCAATCTAAATCCTTCTATCTAATATTTCCCGCTGCTCACACTCAAGAAAACTCTGGGGAGTCTCTCCTCCTAGTAGCCTTGAAAATATTTAAAGCAATAAGGTATTTTTCTGGGTGGAGAATTCTTCTTGGTTATTTTTAAATCCACATAAACAATGCAAAGGAAGAAACACATTTCTCGACTCTAACAGGTTAAAGTTTGAGCTAAGGTGAGTTGCTCCGGGCATGTTCAGCTTTTCCAATCACCGTGCAAAGTAGACTTGATTATTCACACTATAAAAAGCATGCCACTCTCCTTCGCCCATTGGGCAGACAAGGTTTAAAATGGTACAAGTTCTTGGGCTGGTAGGCCTGCAGCAGAAGTTGTGGGCGAGAGAGCAAAGTAAGTGGGAAAATTGACTCCTAGCCACGCCCCCCCACCCCTTGCGCAGTGCCCTAGGACAGTTGCTTCACATTGACCCTGCTCTCCAGTCACTGGATGCCCATTCCTGCCACGAGTGCTACCTTGATAGAATTATCTGAAAAGTTCCAATGCTGTTCAATTATCATCACATATTAGAGTTAGGGGGTATCGTGAACCACCCACAAAAAGGGAAATTATACATATGCTCAACAACTCAAAGTCCAACTGGTAGACGGAATTGTAGACTCACATCCAAAGGTGATTGGAAATGATGAAGTTTATCAATGCTTCTGGCATGTCTCTAGGGGAAAGATGTTCAATTCTCTATATATGACCTTCCAAAACATCCATATCTACATATTTGATCTACCATTACAGGAGATGATGTGAACAGCATAAATTTAGAGGAATCCCACTATGTGTTACCCATAGGCACTTTTCTATAAACTAGAAAAGTATCTTACCATTCAAGAGCTACTCTGCTGTTTCTGAAAGCTTATTTATTTCAAACTGATTTTTTTTTGGTAGTAAATTCTGACTTTATGATATCTCTCTTAGCCACAACTCCAGGGACTCGTCGCCCACCCATGCGCCCTGGACCTATATCTCCCCAGAGAAAACCTTTGCCACCGAATAATGTCACCGGAAAGCCAGGAAGTGCAGGTGTGTCCATTGCTTACCTCCCCTCTCTCTCCATGGTTGCATTTTCCTGTTCACCCCAACCCCTCTTGGTATGCTGGCTTAGGCAAGAGGCGAGGCACTGGCATGTGTGACAGACACATGCTGTTAATTACAGCCTGGAGGATTGCCATACTGACTCTGAGTGGGCAGAGTAAACGAAAGCATTCCTCCGTATCGGGGCCAGTTTGCTTTTGAGATAACTGCATCCTTGGAGGCTAGAGAGAAGCTGCCTTGGTTTTCAGCAGCGGATGACTTCAGAGTAGAAGTAGGAGAAGCTGCTGTACATGGCCAACCCTGAGGGAGAGTGGAAAATAATGCCCTGACTCTGCCTTCAGGCTGCTGCAAGTGTTACAGTGTTTGGGGAGGAATCTGAGCAGTCAAACTGTGTCTTACTTCCATGTGTGGGTCCATGCCATCATAGAAGGGTTCCCTCCGACCTGGGATATAAATATCTGCTATGCAGGGTATCTGATTTGCGACTTCTGCGAAGGTTCATTCCATGTGTGATATTTCATCTCTCTTCCAGCTTCACAAAGAAGTCTTATATTGCCACTCTAGTCTGTGTGATCCTTGGTATGCATCTCTGGTACAACAACAACAACAACAAAAAAAAAAAAACCAAATGGCTTTGTACTGTTCATTTGTATTCTTACCTTCCTCTCATAGCTTGGGGACTTTGTCATAACAGCCCTTAGTCTAGTCTCTCTGAGACTCCAGAGCCTCATTGAGTGCTTAGAATACGGAGGCAATCTGATAGTAATAACCAAATGAATACATGAATGAAATGAAGACTAGTGAACACTGACACAGTTCAAAACAAAGCTTTCCTTCACTTCCGTGTATGGACTCTGCTCGCAAACTGTGAATTCCTTGACATCCTTCCTTTCCACATCTCAACTTCCTAAACATTAGGTAGGAGGAAACTGGATAAAAGTATTTAAAAAAACAGCTGTAAAAGATGGATGAAAGTGTAGAGGGTTTCTGTGAAGGGAGCTGGTGCCATCCCTTTTTGCAAGATAAAAGGCAGGCATGATAACGGCTTTTATGACGTTTCATGATTCTGGGTCAGTGGGTCGAGACCCCTTTCCGGGTCGAATGAACCTTCGCAGAAGTCGCAAATCAGATACCCCGCATAGCAGATATTTACATTATGATTCAAAACGGTAGCAAAAATTACAGTTATGAAGTAGCAATGAAATAATGTTATGGTTGGGGGGTCACCACCACATGAGGAACTGTACTAAAGAGTCACAGGGAAGGCTGAGAACCACTGCTCTAGGTCGTTTCCCCCCCCGATGTCTAGAGGAGGATTCAGCCCCTAACTTGTGCTTTGTGCCTTGCTGGGTCAAGGCTCAGTGAGTACCTCATGAGGAGACCAGGCTTTTCTCATTAACTGTAACATGAAGCAGCTGTGGCATGAGTGGCACCAGCCTCCAGGTCTGACTGATGAGTCACTGTGATGCCCGAGTGTGCCATGAGAACCCCGGGGACCACCCCTGCCGGAGTTCCCCGGGGTGAGGCTGTGTCGGGAGCCACACTTCATGGGTCTTGGGTTTGGGCTTATGATATCCTGTTTCTCTGTCAGAAAGTGTAGCTTTGGCACAGCCTCTCTGCCCCTGAGCCCAAGGAGGAGCCACAGGCACATTCTATTTCTGGGATTAGCTCAGCTCACTGCTCTCCGTGCCCCACTGTCCACCTCTAACTGAGAGAAAACAGCTGGACTTCAAAGCCTACAGGCTGGTGACTATAGTGGTACAGTTCTGGTGATCTGGGAATCCACTGGATGTCTGGGCCTACTCTGAGGGTCTCTCACAAGTGCTTGTGAATGGTCTTGGCTCTCATGTGACTGACATCTACCAATGGTTGCCTATCTCTAAATCTACTGAAGCCTCCCAGGCCTGCTTTTCTGGCCAGGGTGAAAATGTTGCCACCACTTCCTGCTGACTCTGCCAGCTCTGGAAAGCACAGCTTCTCTTGGTTTTGCTTGCCATTTGATTGTGGCCCCACTCCCCCTATGACCAAGGGCCTGAGTCTGTAGGGGAAAAGCAGAAAAGCTTCATCTACCTGACTCAGCCATGACTGCACACGGAACTAAAATCCTGAAGTCCAGCTAGTATCCCTTGACTATAGTAGCATAAGAAGGACTGCTTTTTCTAGAAGAATATGAAATCCACCCTATTCTCCTCTTACTGTACTAAACACTCGGTCTTGCTTGGACCTTGAATCCAGTTTTGGAGACTGATAAGTGACTTTAGCATAAAGGAATTGAACATAGCAACTCAGAGGAGCACTGTGCGGAATCACAGATTGCTCCAGGGATCGCTGTCCTCCTAGTCTGGTTTTCTTCCCTATCTGCCAGTTCATCTCTAAGCAAGGCCATTCCATCTCCTCAGCTTCCTTCCCAGTGGACCAAATGGTTAGGGGGAAAGTCTCATCATTCATTGTCACTTCCCTATTGGAAATCTTTTCACGGTCCTTTTACCTTAAAATAGCCTCCCCAGCCATGATATTCACGTTCCTCCGTGGTCTGCCCTTCCCTGCCCCTCCACATTTAGCTGGGGCTGGGCCTTCTCTTCCCTCGACTGTCCTGTGTTCCCGATCTGATTCATAGCCTTGCACACTTCCTCACTGACACCCTCTCTCCCCCATAGACAGCCACTCCCTCCCTTTGTCCCCTCTGTGACTTGATGTAGTTCTTTCACAATCTCTGTGATGTTTCGGTACCCTTGGCTCAGTCATCTGTCTCTATCAGGAACCAGGTCTTGTTTTCTCTCCAAGCCTGGCTGATAGTGCCAAGCCGCATGGTAAGTGCTTAGGAAACGTTTACTGAGTAAATAAACGGGAAACTTGGCATGCTCCTACTGCTTTGGTTCTGCATTGCAGGAATCATTTCCTCGAGCAGAGTAACTTCCCCACCCCTGAAGGCAACACTCAAACCTACTGGAACAGCTGCAGAGAGACCAGAGGCAGAAAAAAAGCACCCAACCACTCCTGCTTCCGAAGAAGAAATTGGTTAGTGTGTCAGTTCTCACTAGACGCTGTGCTACCAGATGCTCAAATATTTCCAATTAGGGCAAACAAAAAGCTTGGGGTCTTCAATTTTCATTAATTTTAGAAATATTTGTCTTTTTTATTTTCAAGTAATGTTGTCAAACTTTTGTTATGTAATATACTTCTTTCCTTGACAGACATAGAAATGCCGCGTTTTGTGTTGTTTTACAAAATGTAGACTATCCAATTACCAATTTAGAAAATTAGATTACTAAATTACCCATTACTATGAACTATAGATATTTTAATTTAGGAATGAGTATTAACTTATTGGTTAGAATTTTTAATCCACTATTATTACACTCCAGAACACTTTGCTGCAGGACACAAAGATATTTTTATTTTGGATAAAAGTGTATTATAAGACCTAGTAAAGGAAATCAAATCACAAGCAATCTGTCTAGGAGGAATAGTGGTTATCTTTCGTCTGTACTGCTTTTGTCAATGTAGGGTGAATTTTTCTTTATCCGTCACCAAGTTTTTCATTATGTTTTCATTCTCAGGTAATCCGACTGATTTTAGTTCAAGTCCAACAAAAGAAACTGATCATCTTGGGAAGCCCAGATTCACAGGTATGTCCGGCTCTGCATTTTGACTTTAGGAAGGACTGTTCTGGTAGGTAGATCCGTCAGGTATTTACTGTGTAAATATTGTAGGAGCTTACTACAACGTGAATTTTCATGTTCATGCAAGTCAGCTGGGCAGCGGGTGCAGCGGGCTTCTGATAGACTAGCCTCAGGTCTGCCCTGTGGGCATGCATTTTGCTGCCCCAAAGAGTAGCAGTGCTCTAGGAGAAACTATTCTCACTGAAATACAAAGTAAAAAGAGGAGATCCAAAAAGTTGCATTTTGAGATCCTTTTTATGTTAAATCTGCACAAGACCAAACCAAACATCAGGAGAGCACAACTCTTTTCATGGATGCAGAGATTGTTTGAAGATACTGTTTTCCAAAGCAGTTGTATCTTTTTACATTTCTGACCAGGGCTCTTGTAGCTGGGGTTTTCTCTCCGGGTCCCACCGAGCCCTGGCAGTCAGTCCCACAGCCCACTTATAAAATAAACACACAGACGCTTATATTATTTACAAACTGTATGGCCATGGCAGGCTTCTTGCTAACTGTTCTTATATCTTAAATTAATCCATTTCTATAAATCTATACCTTGCCACATGGCACATGGCTCGTGGCTTACCGGCATCTTCACATGCTGCTTCTCATGGCGGTGGCTGGCAGTGTCTCCCCACTTAGCTTTCCACTTCCCAGAATTCTCCTCTCTCCTTGTCCCGCCTACTTCCTGCCTGGCCACTGGCCAATCAGTGTTTTATTTATACAGAACGATATCCACAGCAGCTCTGGTTTCTCTTCCTCCTCACCAGTGCTTGGTATAGGGAGTTTTAAAAGGCCTTTGCCATCAGTTTGTTGTTTTTAGTTTTTTGAGACAGGGTTTCTCTGTGTAGCTTTGCA